TACAGGTGCCCGCCACCTCGCCCGGCTAGTTTTTTGTATTTTTTTAGTAGAGACGGGGTTTCACTGTGTTAGCCAGGATGGTCTCGATCTCCTGGCCTCGTGATCCGCCCGTCTCGGCCTCCCAAAGTGCTGGGATTACAGGCTTGAGCCACCGCGCCCGGCCGATAACTTTTTTTTTTTAAGGAAAAAGATTTATAGTTCATTACATTACTCATATGAAATACATTATTCACATAAAATACATTATTTTATGAGCTCCTCCAAACAACTTCATAAGGAAGAGATCATAGCCTTCACTTGGTAGAGAGGAAACTGAGGCACAACTAGGTGACATGAGTTGCCCTAGAGTATGCACTAGGAATGGCAGAACAAAGCTCAGCCTCAGCCATGCCATCTGTGCCAGGTCACTGTGTCTCTGTGGGCCTTGCTTTTCTTATCTACAGAGTAATGGGATTGGAATAGGAGCTCTATCAGGGTTCTTCCAACTCAAACATTTTGTAACACTAAAATTCTGAGGGCTACTTTTCCCTGAAAGATCAGGTAACCAAGCCTCCTGAACTTCACATTTCCATTCAGGAGATCGAGACCATCCTGGCTAACATGGTGAAACCCCGTCTCTACTAAAAATACAAAAAAATTAGCCGGGTGTGGTGGCGGGCACCTGCAGTCCCAGCTACTCGGGAGGCTGAAGCAGGAGAATGGCATGAACCCAGGAGGCGGAGCTTGCAGTGAGCCGAGATGGCGCCACTGCACACCAGTCTGGGCAACAGAGCAAGACTCAGTCTCAAAAAAACCAAAAAACAAAAAACAAAAAAACCTGTGGATTAAAACTTTTTAATAACTTTTTAATATGATAATAATGATAGCTGAGATCAATAGGGCACACACTCTGAGTCTGGCACTGTATCAACTGCTTGACAAGTATTATGGTATTTATTACTAACAACCATCTCAAGAGGAAGGTATTATCATCATTATTTCCATGCTACAGAAGAAGAAACAGTGGCTGAGAGAAGTAAAAATAAAAGCACTTACTTAGGATCACAGAGCTATTATGTGGAGCCGAGATTCAAACCCAGGAAATTTGCCAGCAACTCTTAACTGCTGCAAGAGACCACGTGACTTCTCCCACGCGAAAGGGAGATTGGTATTAGGCACATTTCATTCCCTTTAAATGTTCATTACGTAATATTTAAGATAGAAAAAAGGTACATTATGCACAGATAGTGCCTCCTCATTAATTTATGTGTTTTATATTTCCCACTGTGTGCCAAGCATTAGGGATGTGACGCATATTCGCACGCGCGCGTGTGTGTGTGTATATATATATATATTTCTCATCGTGTACCAAACATTAAGCATGTAGCAACAAATTCCTCCAGAAGGAGAGGGTCAAGAGAAAATTAAGGCAATGTTAGAAAAATCATTTAGAGTTTATTATCCAGTGCCACCTCCGTGTGTAGCATTACGCCGGGTAAGCCTGAGTAGAGTATCCGAAAACTCTGCCATAAAATAAACTACATAGACAGAAAAAAAAGTCACTTAGTTTGGTTATAAAGAAAGGAGTCTGTCACACAGCATAAAAACGAATCTTAAATCGTATTTTACAAGCATCACAGGCAAAAGCAACTAGGGTGACGGACTTTCGAAAGTGGAAAGCGCCGGATCCTGGGAGCCAGTCGCCCTATTCGATCAAGCATTTTCTGAGGGCTCTGTCCAATAACGTGGGGACGCAACCGAAAACCATGCAAGCAGATTGCTGCTCTCCCAGAGTTGAGAGTCTGGTGAGAAGATCCCTGCTCTGAGTCACTGCCAAGCTCTAGCTATGTGACTTTGAACAGGGAATTTCTGTCCCTGTCTATAAAATAAATGGGGTTAAACCAGGGAATCCGCCATTCAAATTCCGGGCCCAAGCGTCTCCCGGGTCGCGGTGCCCAGAGGAGGGTGGGTGAGGCTCCCTGGGCCTGCGCTGCGGCTGCGTGGCCGCGGGAACGCTGTTCCGGCGCGGAGAGCGTTCGCGTTCCGAAAGCGCGTGTCCCTCGCCGCGTGCCGTCGTCCCCGCCGCCGCCGCCGCCGCCGCCGCCCGCTGGGCCGGAGGAGGCGGAGCTGGTGCTGTCCCAGCTCTCTTGCAGGGAAGCAACTGAGGGGGCGGCGCGGCGGGCCCCGGCGGCCGAAGAGGCTGGCAGGTGGCGCCGTGGGGTGGGCGCTCCCGGTGAGAGGAGTCCACTCCATGCGTGCGGGCGGAGGCCGGCCCTCGAGAGCCGCCGACATGAAGAAAGACGTGCGGATCCTGCTGGTGGGAGAACGTGAGTCCGCACTCTAGGGCCGGCCCCTGAGTCCCTGCCCTCCCTGCCCCTGCAGCCCCTGTCGCCCCTGCAGCGCTAACCTTTGCAGCCTGGGCCCTTCTCGGCGCCTCACAGCTCCTCTCGCCTCTCTCCGCGTGTGTTTCTAGGCCTTCCAGCCCCTTCGCTCTTCTCTTTTGGCTGCCCGCCGGCGGCCCTCATCCTGTCACCTCACCTGGGCCCTCCAGAGATCTCCTTTCCCTGTTCCCCAGCCGTCCTCGCAAGCCATGTTCCCATTAGCCCCTAACCGCCCGACCTCATCCCTTCGAAGGTTCTCTCCTTTTCCTTTTCAAACCCTGTCCTTCTGGGCTTCACAGTTTCCCAGGCCGCCTCCTTTCAGACTTCTCGTCTTCCCCTGGAGATTCCCTTGTCACTGCCAGGCTGGTGCTGGAATAAGCAGACTGACCAATTGGGATTGCGTGAACCGGCTCCGGGGGAAGCTGGGGGAGGGGTGCAGAACTATTCGACTTGTGGGCAAGGTCAGGTTTCTGCATTTTTTTGGGCACTCGCAGTCTTCGCTCCCTTTATGCATTACATTAAGATGTGAGTAGTGGAAAGGGCTAGATCCTTTTTAGTAGTACTTGTACTTTGCATTGGACTAACTTCTGGTACTCGAGATATTTCCTCAAAAATTTTTTCTCAACTTCGAGTTATGCAAGCGTTCAATGAATTAGAATTATCTGGGAGGGTCCAATTATTGTTACCCTAAAGCCTAATCTTTGCCCTCTTTTTAAGCATTATTTATTCCGTAATTACTTGGTAGTTAACTTATTAATAACTATAGGCACACAGACATTTGGTATTTCCCCCTACCCAGCAATTTCATACATTTCACCTTTTGAAAATATAATAAAGGAGAGTTGCCTCTGTCATTGACACGAGGACACAACAGCGGGGACTTCTTGTTATCAGTCTGCAAGTTATGTGACTCATGTGCTAGGACTAAAATAAGAAAGTGGGCCGGGGACAACTGGATTGTTTGTTTTAAAGTGTTAATACATTTGTTAATACTCTGCCATTGCTGTTTCGAAGCATTCTATTCTAAATCATTATTTCATTCTTAGTAACCCCTCAGGGTCACCATGATGGACTCCCAAGGAAAGTTAACACATTTTTTACCCTCTTCTGTAGCGTTCTTTGATGTTCATTGAAATTTCATCCACCTGCTGTTTGGAGAAATCTTCCTTTAGAATTAGAATTTAGGGGTAAGCTTAGCCAGCCATAGTTTACTTTTTGATTTGCAGTTGTAAATTTTAATTTTTATTTATAACTATATCTTAATCTGTATTTTTCACGGACTTCCTTGACAAAGTTCAGGAAGGTGTTATTTAACATATGATTCCTGCTTATGCTTTTGAAGCAAGGTAGGGAAAGTGAGTAGACGACTTGCTTAAAAAACCAGATCCTCAAATATATGATGAAATAGTTTGTTGTTGTTGTTGTTTTGAGACAGCGCCTCGCTCTGTCACCGAGGCTGGAGTTCAGTGCCGTGATCTTGGCTCACTGCAACTTCCGCCTCGCGGGTTCAGGAGATTCTCCCACTTCAGCCTCCCAAGTAGCTGGGACTAAAGGCACATGTCACCATGCCTAATTTTTTTTTTTTGTATTTTTAGTAGAGATGAGGTTTTACCATGTTGGCCAAGCTGGTCTCGAATTCCTGACCTCAGGTGATCTGTCTGTCTCAGCCTCCCAAAGTGCAGGGATTACAGGTGTGAGCCACCTTGCTTGGCCGTGAAATAGTTTTATAGTATAATAATTTTTAATACTAATTTTTTAAAAAATAGTCTATGTTTTGGATTTATTTTTGAATATAGGATCAATATTTTGAATATCGTTAGTGTGTAAAACATCTAAATAGGCTGGGTATGGTGGCTCACATCTGTAATCCCAGCACTTTGGGAGACTGAGGCAGGTGGATCACCTCAGGTCAGGAGTTGGAGGCCAGCCTGCCCAACATGGTGAAATCCCATCTCTACTAAAAATACAAATATTCGCTGGGTGTGGTGGTGGATTCCTGTAATCCCAGCTGCTAGAGAGGCTAATGCAGGAGAATCACTTGAACCCAGGAGATGGAAGTTGCAGTGAGCTGAGATCGCACCACTGCACTCTAACCTGGGTGACAGAGTGAGACTGTCTCACACACACACACACAAATCTAAATAGAAGTGTTATACATACAAATAATATGTCATCCTTAGGACGTGTAGGTTAAATCATTAGCAGTATTACTTGGGCCGGGTGTTCTGACTCACGCCTGTAATCCCAGCACTTTGGGAGCCCGAGGCGGGAGGATCACGATGTCGAGATAGAGACAATCCTGGCCAACATGGTGAAACCCTGTCTCTACTAAAAATACAAAAATTATTTGGGCGTGGTGGTGTGCGCCTGTAGTCCCAGCTACTCAGGAGGCTGAGGCAGGAGAATTGCTTAAAGCCGGGAGGCAGAGGTTGCAGTGAGCCAAGATCATGCCACTGCACTCCAGCCTGCGCAACAGAGAGAGACTCCGTCTCAAAAAAATAAATAAATAAATGAAAACATTAACAGTATTATTTAGGAATACATGAAAGGATTCAAAATTTGTTAGAAAACTTATGATCCACGTTCTGTAGAAAGCAATAAGAAAGTTGGTAAAACTATATGTATGTGCTAGAGTTTTCTGATTGTAGTGAGCAACTTGACACAAGAGAAAGCATTAGTTTTTGAGAAAGAAACCTTTCTTTCCTTTTTCTTTTCTTCCTTCCTTCCTTCCTTCCTTCCTTTCTTTCTTTCTTTCTGTCTATCTGTCTGTCTGTCTGTCTGTCTTCTGGGCTGGAGTGTGGTGGCGCGATCTCGGCTCACTGCAACCTCTGCCTCCTGGGTTCAAGCGATTCTCCTACCCCAACCTCCCAAGTAGCTGGGGACACAGGCGCGTGCCACCACGCCCAGCTAATTTTTTATATCTTTAGTTGAGACAGAGTTTCACCATGTTGGCCAGGCTGCTCTTGAAATCCTGACCTCATGTTCCGCCCGACTCAGCCTCCCACCGTGCTGGGATTACAGGCGTGAGCCACTGCGCCTGGCCCTTTTTTTGTTTGTTTGTTTTTAAAGAGATGGGTCCTCACTATGTTGCCCAGGCTAGAGTTCAGTAGCTGTTCACAGGAATGATCATAGTGTATCACAGCCTCGACCTGTTGGGCTCAAGTGATTCCTCCTACCTCAGCCTGCAGAGTAGTTGAGACCACAGGTGATGGCCACCATGGTCAGCCACAGGAAGACACTTGTTTTTTCTTTTTTTGAGATCGAGTCTCACTCTGATGCCCAGGCTGGAGTGCAATGGTGTGATCTTGGCTCACTGCAACCTCTGCCTCCCAGGTCCAAGCGATTCTCCTGCCTCAGCCTCCCGAGTAGCTGGGATTACAGGTGTGTGCCACCATGCTTGGCTAATTTTTGTATTTTTAGTAGAGACGGGGTTTCACCATGTTGGCCAGGCTGGTCGAAGACACTTTTGTTAAAGAATGGTACCAAAAACCTTAGGCCATCAATCATACATGTTATTTTTCACATTTAAAAATATTAGAAATAGAATTACTCTTAATCAGAATATGTAATTTTAATTTTAAAGGCTGATATTTTGGGAGGAAGTGTTAGAAGCTTTACTTTGTGAGATTTAATGTAAGTATTTGGCAGCTGTTAGCCTAGGTGTATCACTTTGAAATGCTAGGTCTTGACGGGGCGCGGTGGTTCACGCCTGTAATCCCAGCACTTTGGGAGGCCAACACAGGTGGATCACCTGAGGTCAGGAGTTCAAGACCAGTGTGACTAACATGATGAAACCCCATCTCTACTAAAAATCCCAAACTAGCCAGGTGTGGTTTCCCATACCTATAATCCCAGCTACTTGGGAGGCTGAGGCAAGAGAATGGTGTGAACCCAGGAGGTGGAGGTTTCAGTGAGCCGAGATCGTGCCACTGCACTCCAGCCTGGGCGACAGAGTGAGACTCTGTCTCAAAAAAAAAAAAAAAAGCTAGGTATATTCTAGTATACCTGGAATATATCTAATATCTTTTGACATTAGAAAAAAGTAGTGGTGATTTGAGTTATTACTTACCTGTTTGAGCGAGTCTAGTTTTCAGATGTAGTTTTAACATGGTTAATTGAGAGGAACAGGAAAAGCAAAAAGAAGTATTGTTGTAAAGCCTATTCATTCATTCACTATCACTTCAGTAGTTGCACAGTGATATTTTGTTGCTGTCAGTGTCTTTCTCTGAACCATAGTAGCAGCATCATTCACCAAAGCTCTGAAATAGTTGTGAATGGTTTCAACATTATGTTGACTAAACCATTATGCTGTACTGTTGAGGTGAAATGGATCTTTTCTTGGCCCGCTTCTCATCTATCCAGGCTTTAATGCTAACTAATTGCTTAATGATTGTTTAGTGCTTAGATCAAAGAAGTTA